GTTACGCACAAGGGTGAGGAGGCCATGAGCCTGCCCACGGTACCGAGGCAGGGTGTAAACAGTATAGCCAGAGAGGCGGAGTGGAGTAACATCGTCTGTGATGGTTTCCTGAAGTAGAGTAACATCTACTTGATGGGAGAGCACAAACTGGGCGAGGTCTGTCCGGCGAGGTCTAAGTCCTTGGATGTTCCATTGCAAGAAGAGGAAGGAACGACTTCCAGGAAAGATATGAGTCGGAGGGGCTAGACAGGGCTCCAGAGGAGGTACCAAATTCTGTTGAGAAAAATGGAGAGGGAGGAGTGGGAGAGCGAGGGATGGATCCTCCATCTCGGGAGATGGAAGGAGGCGGGTCATCAGGGCTTGCAGAGTGCGCCTCTGTTGGGTCAGGGTGTCCAGAATGAGTTGTTGTTGCCTCTGCAATGTCGCAATTGTTTTCACAAACAAGTCGAGTTGGGTAGAGAGAAGGTTGATTTGCTTGGAGTGGCGATCCAGACGGAGTGTGATTGTTTCCATAGAACCAACTTGGTGTACCTGTACAGGAGCTGGAGGTGGCGGCGACGATTGCCGAGGGCTCGACTGGGCAGGTGGTGGTGGTAGCGACGGAGAGGGACGGTGAGGGTTCAGTTGAGTAAGAGGTGGTGGTGCTGGTGAGAGACAGCGGGGGTCCGGGTGGGCAGGAGATGGTGGTGACTGTGTGGCAGGGCCGGCAACGACCTTGTTCCAAGAACGGTAGGGAGACGGAGGGAGGGGAGAAAGGATGGGTGGTGGGGGTGATAGGGGGGATGGTAGAGGAGAGGAGATCAATGGGAAATCCTTGGTGGATGGAAGAGGCGGTGGTGGATAGGGGTGAGGTTTGGTTGACAGGGGCTTCGTCAGAGACGAGGGCGGTGGTACAAGGTAAGTTTTCCCCGGGCGAGTGCCAGGACGCTGTGGGCAATTGGCATTCCAGGCGTGGTGACTGCCATGTCAATTGACACACCGTGGAGTACCTGGGATTTTGTTCTGAATTTTCGATTTGCATTCCACTGTTTCGTGAGGACCTGCGCAGAAACCGCAGGCGACCATCCTCGTGCACTCCCAGGTGCGGTGTTTCCACGATTGGCAACGACCACAGATTTTCGGGGTTCCGATAAATCGGTCGAGAGGACAGTTGTGAATTGGTCCTACATTCACCTTCGGAGGGAGGGGGGCCCACCCACCAGCCGATGAGTTCGTTGGATGGAAGTTTGGAGACCGGGTTGATGCGGCGCTCCATGTCCAGTAGTTGTGGGAGAAGAGGGCGAAGATCGTCGATAGGGATCTCCCAGGGTACGTGGCGAACCATTACCTTGGTACGACGAGTTTCTGGGGTGATGATGGTGAGCTTCAGCATCACCTCCCCATGGGGAGCAGGAAAGCCCACCTGAGTGAGCAGGCGTACCGTCTCGTCCATTTGTATGGTGACTATCACGGCTGTGGGACCTCGGCGGAGGCGAAGTGTTGAGTCCTGAAGTGGAGAGCAGTGACGGAAGAACCAGGTCGTCCGTGTGCTCAGAGGCAAGTCCCGAGGGAAGGCGAGACGACGAAGGTGCGACGGGGCAGGGAGACAAAGGGAATCCCCTATGTCCATCGTCGGCGGAGGGTCGGTCATTGAGCCACATGTAAGCTCACTTGGGGACCCCGACGGCAGAAGGAGGTCACCCTCTACAGCCCCAGACGGGGTGAGAGGGGGAGCCGTAGCCCCTGCTGGAGACCCTGACTTCTGAGGTTTCTGCTTCTTCTTTGACGTGTCTTCAAGAAGAAAGTCGTCAGCATCACTGTCACCTACTGCCGCCATTTCCAAAGAACGGGAGCGTTTAACGGCGGGCATAGGGCACGTTGGCAACACTGCAGTCAGGTGGAGTGGTAATGACGTCACTTCTACGTCACACTATCACATTGCGCATGCGCAAACTTGAAAAACTTTGCTCAGAGGGATCTGGTGGTAGGACCAGATGTTTTGTCCCCAAAAAATGACAAAAGTCCAAAAGTAAAAAAAAAATATATGCCACTGTGCTGATAACTGGGTCTTACTATAGTTGTCTGCACAGGCTGGGATTGGTAGACTCGCTGAATTCGTCAGAAATACGAATTTTAAGGAGCAGTCTCTTACAACCTTTGTTGGTGATTCAGCACCCACTACCAGCACTCGCAACCTGTAAAAATGTGGACAATGCAGGTACTGCTTCTAATGTCGAACTAAGAGTTACTGTATTTTTGTTTTGATTTATATATACAGAAAACACCTGCTGGGTTAATTTTTCCATGGCGGTGAACTGCAATGAATATAATTATGGATGATGGAGGGAGAGTTATAGACACAATTATAGACCAGACAATCAAGGTGTGATGGTGTTGGGGGTTGTGTTAGTTATAGACACAATTATAGACCAGACAATCAAGGTGTGATGGTGTTGGGGGTTGTGTTGGTGGCGGAAACGTGGATGTGATTATAGTTGTGGTGTTGGTGACTGGTTAAAGGACAACTGCGGCAATGAGGACTGTGGTGATCATAATGCTGTCACAGTGGTGTATGCCTGCAGTTTTTGGATAGCGTTGTGAAGTTAAAATGATGCAGGACTGTAGTGAAGCCCAAGACCTATGCGGGAGCCTGAGAATCTTCCCCCACCAACCTTGTTATTTTTTTTACCTTTGTGAACATAACGCTCTTAACTGCTATGGTGAATACTTTACCTGGTGTTATCAGTGTTGGCTAATCTTATCGACAACTCAGTATCTCAACGCCAGAGTCAGTTGAGAGATACCACAACTTGACAGTGCTAAATAAAAAGTCTTATTAGTTCGGGAATCCCTCTTTCCTCAACGTAGGAAACGGCCTTGCTGAATTTCGACTAATATTCTCATAGAGTTCGTAGAAAAATGGCTCGAGTTACCTTAATTTGCTATAAAATCAACGTAACTGATCCTTCTAAGGGAAATATTTTATATATAATGAACAAATATACACATATATGTCAAGCCTAAGTCTACAATTATATGTTTTCTGGCAACTCCTGGCTACGTGCTGGTGAATAAATGGGTAATATATAAGTGAGCAACTCCCCTAGATGAAACTGAACCAGATGTTATGTTGCCTGGGAGGACACCAAGATAGTCACCAAGTGAACTAGTGGTGGGCACAAGCTGTTGAACAACCCACTCATCTTGATTATACAATATAAGAACTTAGTGTATCAGCAAGGACGACTTCAAAGGTATTTCAGTGCTTTGGTTGTGTCTTTAGAACACTAAACTAATGTTAAGATTGCACCATATACTCGCAAGAGCAAGTCAGCAAGAATGTGAGCGCTATACTGTACTGAAATCCACACCAGCTGTAGTGTTGTGTCGAGAACCTCAACTTGTATTGTATTACCATAGTCTGCGTCCCGAATGTAAGACAATACACTGGTACAACTGCAGAATTCCCCGTCATCTGAGTTAGGAATACTTGGGTTGGGTTAGGATATTCGGGTTAGATTAGGATAAGTTATGCTGGTGAAATAAACGCACCAAATTTTTTATTCTACAGTTTACAAAAACATCTTTTCGAGGATCCTGATAGCAGGTATACATGTCGATGTACAGTACATAACAAAGGTTCTCAATTTCATACGAAAAAGTTTAAACCAATCGGAGGTTCTTCTCAATGTGGCGCTGAGTGAACGTAAAGTATTTAATCTCGGTGTAATTTTGGTACCATTGTGGATTTTTTTCCTTAGCATAAGTGAACCAGGAAATTGTATTTTTCATATCTCCAGTAATGAGGAAAAATTATACAAGGAGCTTTTGAGAATCCAAATCGTGAACAGAAACATTATGAAAAAAATTATGCCGAATTAAATAAGAACAAATAATATTTCCCGTCAAAACTAACGACAAAATATTCACATTAAAACATAATCAAAAGAACACATTGATTCATTAAATATCAAAATCCCAACTCCTCAATTCTATAATGACGCATAAAACAAATGCCAGACCTTACCATAAGTACCAAGGGAATTTCGTCTGGATGTGTTCACTAATGCAGTAATGAGAAGTGGTAAGGGGTGAAGATTAAATTTATATAGGATGTGTGACAAGTTTTTTTATATGTCCAAAAGAAACTGCCTTGAAGTTTACGCCTTTTTCGAATAATTGTGAAAGATATTTAAAGTTATTTTAATTTTTAGGAGATATCAGAACGCAGTTTTAATTGGACTGTGGGGGATATTAGAACGCAGTTACTGATAAAGGACAGTGCCCCTCCCCCCCCCACACACGTGTCTGTTATCATTTCCTTTATGTAAATGAGTCAAATAAGGCTTGTGCAGTGACAATAACAAGATTAAATTTCTAAAGTTATATGTGTGTGTTTCATATCATATTCATTTGAAACCATGATCTAGATTATCGGTGGTTCCCAAAGTATTCCACGTAACTGAAGGTGAAAGAAATGCTCCTAAATGATTGACTTTAGTTAGAGTGCAAAGTGAAATTAAGGCAGAAGATCCCTTTAAGGGTTCTTGACCTTAATTTATCCGGTGCCAAGTAAATGCATATGGTCTAAGTAAGTCTAACAGCGTAATTTTTATGCCATTTTGGGACGAGAACTATTCATCTACCGAACCTTTGAAAATCTGACTTCAAGATATTATTAATAATAGCCAGACCGTGTTTAAAGTTGGTACTTCACACCATTTACGTAACTTGAAAAAAGGTGTGGATATACAAGTAATGATTTACCGAGATTTACTTTTGGGAAATATAGACTGTTGTAACTTGTCGATAAAACTGATAGCTGATAAACACTGATAAATACTCTGTATATGTATATTGCTGACGCTGATTACTCCTGACGATAATAAGATAAACTAATTCTTTCGAAAGAATAGATAGTTGAAATGAAGCAAAATACTGTACTGTATAATATGTATTGCGTTATCCCGCTGGTTGTCATGGTTGTGTTTTGTGCGACTGTAATGTTTAACAAATAAAGACAGTTCGTACATAACATTAAGTTCAGTGTAACGCAACAGTGTCGGAAATTCCATATCTATGATGTGTTTATCAGCAGCTGTAACTCATATTGGAGCCTTGGACTTGCCATTTAACTCGACGAAATTCAGCCAAGGTAAAGTGAATATTGTCCACTAAATTTCGTTTGGAGGATGCAGTTAGTTATGGAATAATCTCGGTTCAATAAATAATTCGGTGTTATTTTGGCGTTATTTTTGTTTTAGCTGAAGTAAGTCAGTAAGAACCAGTGAGGCTGGTGAAAGTGTTGTCAAATTTTGTAATGTATTGCCGGATATTACTACTCGACTGTAGGATTGAAGGCAATTTCTTCCCACGTAATATTACAATTGCTTATTATTTAGAAGTGGTTACAGGCCCGGGTTCAGTTTTCAACATATTTTTGCCAAAGAATGCGGAGTGACGTAGCCTTTCAAAATAATCTTCACACGCACGAGACTGATTTGGTTATACAGTACTTCTTACGCTCGGGTAATGAGCATCAAAAGGCGATATATCAAACAAATCTAAACTCGTTAAAGCATATTTGGCTGTAAGGTATGGTTGGGTTGGATATATCGTTATGGTTGGTTGTTTTGCACTGAGTATCACCCTGCTCTAGCAGAATTGAGTCAAGTGTAGCAGTATAGCCATATCTTTTTCTTGAGGGAGGTGGTATAGTAAGTAATGTTTCTTCAGCGAGAAAAGGCAAGCATTATATTTAGAAAAGTTTTCATTCCCGGGATGAGAGTTCTTACCACTGTGGTGTAACATACTTTAGTTGATAAGTTTTAAGATTGTCTAAGCAATATGACGTTGGCTTTTGCGTCAACTTCCTGCATTATACTCAAGTCCTGTAACATAGTTTGACTTTTCTTGAATCGAATTTATATTGTGTTCTGTCGAAGCGTAATAATACCTTAAAACAACAGCAACATATCGGTGTAACAATTTCAAATTCCTCCCCCCCCCCCCTATCTGGTAATTTAATCCTAGTTTCAAAGTACCGAGGGCATGTTCTATAAGACTATAATTAGGTTCAATATACCCCGGAGATAATCAAAACTTAGGTTCAAACTACATCCTTTATTTCCAAATTGCCCCCACACTTAATCAGAGGAAATCATGTTTTGCGTGTAAGAAAACACACGTGGACCCTCGGGCACATGCATACATACGGAGATAGGCCTACATATAGTACGCTCACTTTAATATTACACTATCATGATATAGAGAGCGAATTAATGAAGATATTGAAGACTACTGTAGATTTTTTGATGATTTTTTTCGTTGAGAGAATAATTTAACAGACTTGTCTCCATCAATATTATATTTCAATGATTTTTTTTTTCACTTACACATTAGTATTAATTATGGTGGTACATATATAAGGACGAATCCAGAATTTGGAAAGGGCGGTGGGGAGGGCACATCTTCAAAAATTAAAGAGTGTAAAAGAGAAAAGCATCACAATCTATTTTAAATGATTTTTCATGATGTTTGATGAGTAAATTTTACCTTTTCAACGATAAACTAAAAGATATAAGGGTACACCGAAAAAAGTGAGGGGAGGGGGCATAATGTACGATAGCGCTTTCTGTGTCTGACCAAAGATTCAAATATACTTGACATTTGCAGTTTATTTTTCCTTACAGGGCAAAAATGTTATTTATCAGAAAGCCAGAGCCGGCAGGGGACAGTAAATACAATTAATTAACTTTTCAAAACTCAATACTTGCATAACCACACAAAACATACACACATTCTATAAAATATGGTCTATCTTTATATCAACATGGCCAAATCAGAGGGGTAATCTGAAACTTTTATACCGGTACGAGCCCCATACACGGTCAATCATGATTGACGATCATTGAAGGATAACAAATTTGGGTAACTTTTTACTTTGTAGCTTTATTTCCTGGTTATTTTATTAAGATAAACGATAAGGTAAGAGAAAGAGAAAATGCTATATTTTGCATAATTATATATCATTATTAGACTGAAATTGTTTAAATACTAAAGACTTGGTATTTAAAAAAATGAGCATATTTTTTTTATTGTCCAAATAAGTAAATGAAAATACGAGCAGTTGTCTACACTTTAGTTCGACCTGTGTGGTGTGTGTTTTTATGCTTGTTTTGTACTTAAGAAAAAATTTCGCACGAACTGTACGTACATGTACACTTACTGAGTGGTTAAGTAGGCGAGAGATAACCTTTTGCTATTTGTCATCCTGTTTTCTATTTTTTTTTGTAATTTTAGGCGAAGATAACACCCATTAATATTACTGTGAAAGTTGGGGTAAAATTAAGTGGTAATAGTAGGTAGTAGTGACTTTAAGGTTGTAATAGTGGTATATAACAGTAATAAAGCTAACTCTGTTTATCTCCCACAGGCACCATGATGAACCCAGACCCGCAGATGTCGCAGGACCCCGCTAAGGTAAACTGTATTAGTTATGATACAAGTATTCGTCCTCAAGACTTCCTCTTGGGACTTACCATAATTTATTACAATAAATATAAACTTTGGCTTTGATTTATGGTAAACTATAAAGTTTTAAGCATGTAATATTCTAAATAAACACGAGACACTGGACATCACCCATTAAGCAATACGGATGTGAGAAGATAATGGCTATTATTTTAGTATCAAAAGTTTTAAAATAGACCGCTTGTATATTGACATTTTCCTTCCTAGCCACGATAACACACCCACCATCCAGCGTTCCTCTATGCTAACGCATTACGCAATATCTTTTATTTGTGTGTGTGTGTGTGTTAGTTATAGTTTTATCATGTTTAACAACCCTTAGTTAGAGCTTCGACTTAAACAAATATTCTGCGCAGGTGGCGGCACAGAGCCGATTGTCAGCCACGCAACAGCAGGTGAATGAAGTTGTGGATATTATGAAGACTAACGTCGAGCGCATCATAGAGAGGGAAGAGGGGCTCACCGAACTGGACGTCCGTGCAAACAACCTTACAGTAAGTTATAGCTGAAAACCTGGTGAATATTTCCGTGCAGCGTTGTCCGTGAAAGTCAAGAACATTCTAACCTCACCATAAGTGAAAATTACTGTAAGAGGGCTTGTTTCTGATCAAATTCTTAGCAACACTGAGACTGTTAGGTGCCAGGGCTTTGTATTTGTACAATTACTTATTTGCAGCCAATTCACATTATTTTGCAGTGTGAGTGGGTACCTGACTTTAGTTTGGGTAATGAAGGCGATCGAGTGCATTGTCAGTCACTGCCTCCTTGTGTGTCGAAGGTTTGGTGTCTAGCGCGCTATATCTACAGTACACTGACCATGCCAGGCCGTCAAGCGTAAGAGACCCACTTTCAATATTAACTTCAAGGAATGTCTACTTCTTTTAAGATTAAGTTTTAAACAGACATACGTGTATTATATGAATAACGATGTGATTCACTTTCCCAGGCCAGCGCCTCTGAATTCCAGACAACCTCCCGCAAACTGAAGAGGAAGTACTGGTGGAAGAACCTCAAGATGATGCTCATTCTCGGCTGTGTCATTATCCTGGTCATCATCATCATCATTGTGGCCACCGTGGGCATTCCCAGCAGCAGCGGTGGAGGTGGCAATAACCCCACATCTGCTCCAGACAGCACTCTGTCTGTGTCAGCAGCTCCCCCAAATAGAGAAGCGAGGGCCATTATGGATACATTGACAGCATAAACGATTGGACTTCAGGCGAACATTGTTTTTCAATAAATTACCCATTTATATCTGGTGAATATTGGTTGCACAGTTGCGGAAATGTGTTCCTATCCCTTTGTGGTAACCCGTGTCTCCAAACGGTCAACCTATATGACCTATAGCAAACCTGTCCACCAATTACGTCCGTCGTTACACGACCAATACCCATTCATTCGTAAACAGTACTACTACTGCGACGGCGCCTTTTGGAGACGCGGGTTACCACAGGGGGTGTAGGAACACATTTCCGCAACTGTACCACGTCAAGTATAGAGCCTACAGTCTTAACCAATTTGATTATAAACCCAGAACATCAAAATAACTTTCATTCAGTGAATTTGAGCTTTCTTTATAAAAAAAATAATTTATTTTGTTTTACATGCAAATCTATGTTTGCAGGAAAGGTTAATTACAGGTATATAATTAAAAAAAGGAAGTCTATATTGTTCAGTTGGTGGTGAAATAATAAAAAGACGCACTTTATTATACAATAAAGAATAAATAGAAGACATTCACTTGAAAGGGTTGAAAATCATGTGTTGTCTCGACCCGTCACTGCTATGTACTAGAAAATATTACAACAGGTATTATATTTAACTTCTGCGCATGGGAATTGTAAATTTGTCTTTGTAAGCACATTATAATAGTTGCCCTCATTCGTTTTTTTTTTTTTTGGGGGGGGGCAGTGTTGTAGAAAATGCGACAAAACTCGTTATAATTCTGGATTATCTGAGCGTTGTTTTCGTGTCCGATTGCTTATGGTTTAAACTTGAGGAGGAACAATATATCTGAAATAAGTTTAATTATATCTAATAGTTCCAATGAAAGAAACAATAAATTCACGTATGACTTCCCCCTCACCCAATATAAAACACAAGTCGACTGGTGCGGGTTCACGGTAGGCTACAGTATTTACTCTCAACATAATCATAAATACGCTTCAATTTTCTAAAACAGAAAAATGTTTCATTAAAAAGATGAGTGACCAAAGGACACTATCCTTAGCCTCTCCAAAACTTGTCTTCTTGCCCCTTCCTTCCACTCTTATTAAAACTAAAGATACGTTGCTCAGCCAGCTCCACAAGAACCTGGCTGAGGTCGTCACCCCTTCCTTGGAACAATGGCTACTGCAAAAATAAACATATTTTTAACTAAATGAAAAAGGCTTAAGAGCTAGAACCTAATCACGTAAGATGAAAGTTCAAATATAATTATTATAACCTCAGCATAACTGGTTGAGCCTAGATACTGTCAATCTCTTACTTTCCTTCAAATTTCCTCCCTCTTTTTCCTTGATCCTAAGCCAATCTCCCCCTCCCCCAAATTGCCACCAAAGTACTTCCAATCCTAATCCCAGCTCCCCCCCACCCCACTCAGCATTACAAGCAATAGCCCTCTACCTTATCTACAGACGTCAAGTCAAGTCAAGATATATTTCAGTCTTATCCTCTGTTGATCCCAGTTTCAGCCTCGAACGCCTTATCCTCAACTGATCTGGTCTAGAACAGAGGCTGCGAGCTGTCACGATATGGAATAAGTACGCGACTCATATACTACAAACGCCCTTATATCTCTGGTTATATCCAGCCTATTGTAGTCACGTATAGATTTCTGGCTGTATAGCGACATTAAATTTGTATGTCAGTACAGAACCGTGTGAAAGGCCTAATGTTTGTAATTAAGCAAATAAACTAATTAAAGGTCGCCAGTAACCGTTCTGTTCTACAATAATTATCCTGAATATTATATAGGGACTGCCAAAGTAGGATATGGCGTTTGAAGATGGTAGATAGACGGTGAAGAAACAGTGCCTAGTTAAGGTCAAGTTCTTACCAACGTGGGGAATAAGGGCAAAGAAAGAACACTTTAAATTTCCAATACTACGCCCATCAAGACTGATTATACAGTATTATATTACCTTATGAGCACTTTTACCCGTCCAATGAAAGTTGGACATAACCTCCCTTAATCCCGGAGGTGATTAGTACCGTACTGGCAGCTTGGCTGGTGTACATCACCCCCCGTAATATACAATCTCTAATAACTGCCATTCCTCTACCTGCCTTAGAATCATCCGGGGGGAACCATCATCAAGTTTGACGATGGCAGTTGGACTGTATATGTGCGGATTAAGCAAGACACTGGAATAATTAAATGAAGCGCTTAGCTGAGTTAATAAAACAATCATTGGTACAATATTTCATCTAACCTCTTCGTTTACCTGATTAGGTAAGAATCACGTTCGCATAATATACTTAAGCATTAATATCCATGGATACTAGTGGAAATGATTTTTTCAATGGCCCTGAATTGTATTTATTTTGTGCATTCATGTGTACAATCAAAGACAAAAGTCGTGTCGCGGTTTTGTCCGAAGATCAAATATCACTCGTGAAACATTATGAGAGCCCTTCCAAAAGTTTTAGCCCTTCGGCATATGTTTTCACCAAATTTAACGACACGACTTTTGTCTTTCATTGTGCTACACTTCCACAACCCTCACAACTGGTGCGTGAAACTGAATGTTGGCGATGTTGTGAGGCAGAGGATCATGCTGCTCCCTCCTCTTAAAATTGAACATATTTACAAGCTGTAGAGTGTAGACTAAGATAATGTATATCAATAGAAAGTATTTATCCAAATGTGTGATTTATGCGCCTTAAAACTGAGTTAAGGCAATGCAATATATTATTAATTATACTAATATGTATATTTTCTGAAATATAAGGCTTTTTTTTACATTGTTGAGACTGGTATAAAACTGTAATAACCAAGTTTGCAATAAACTCATAATTAATTTTTTTTTTAATTACCCTAACACTGGTTCACTATCGTTTGAGAATGGCTGCGCTCTCTCTCTCTCTCTCTCTCTCTCTCTCTCTCTCTCTCTCTCTCTCTGTCTATCACGCTAAATGACTGTGGCACTAGGCTGGGGAATAATGGATACAAAGGCAGGTGAGATTAGGTAAGTATCGTTAGGTAACGTTAAATTTGTTCAGGTTAAGTGAAGTGAAGAATAGTACAATTGGGTGGGGGTTAGATTTGATTACGTTAGGTTCAGGTAGATTGGATTAGGTTAGGTAATACTGTATGTTAGGTTTGGTTAGGTTACAATTTGACCAACAACTGGGCATGGGTTCTTGTGGGTAACAACCGAACAGTGTACCTTAAACTCAATTTCACACAGCAAACTCCATTTTTTAGCCCATCAGCTGACACCATCACACACGTAAACGAACATGGCAGGTCTCCGAGTTCGTCCTCTTCCTCGTTACTCCTCTTGACTCTTCTGTTATTTATATCGGCTTCCTTTATCTTCTCGTAGCAATCTCTCTCTCTCTCTCTCTCTCTCTCTCTCTCTCTCTCTCTCCTCACCGCAGCTGTTCCTTCCCCTGGTACCAATAAGTGATTCTGACGTGACAACAGATATAAGCCCCGAGGGGCCGAGACAACGAGCAGGCGCCAGTAGTACTTGCCTGAATGTCAGCCATGACGCGCACCGCCTACTTGCTAGTCTTCCTGGGCTTTCTCGGTCTGTATAATTCGTTTAATTTATTCCACAAACACAAACACACACACACCTTCACTCCAGTTGTTTGTACTGTATTGTTTGCTTGTGTTGTAATAATCGCTTGTGGTCTTATATTACGAGATGATATCCAGTGGTATATATTCATAATTCTCAGAAATACACAGCTGGTTCTACTATTACAAATATACTCAACAAATCTGACTTCATTCCACAACGTTTAATTATCTTTTTGTCTTAAGTCACGTTACAGGTTTAATAATGGATCATACATGCAGGACATATACATAGGAAATGTCCACAGGATTTCCGCTGGTAGTTTAATGTTTATAAACAGAACCAACCTCATTATCTGCGTCAGTGAGCTCCTAAAGCAACACCCAAGTTCACACGTCATCAATGAAAAGCGTGACTTCTGGCAGCCAACGCAACGACCTCGGATGTGTCTTTCTTAGTTTTTAACTGTTGATGACAAGTGTGTGCACTAACCCAGAGTAAGCACTTAAAAAACCTGAGTTGTTAAAGTTGATCACTGTATTAATACATTATAACATGGACATCACGACCGAGACTAAAATCCCTAGCTGCTGGGCGTACAGAACTAAAGTGTTTGATGTTTAGTTACGAGGCGCCCAGTATAACTTTAGTTTTTGTGAGGAAACCATTTGTCTACAGAGACTAACAGACATCGCTCTATCACCCCTCCACCGAAGTTTTACAGCAGGTGGGTTGGATATGACCGGTAACAGGAAATTTTTACACTAGTGTCAAATGTGTGGCTGAAACGCTTCGCTTATTGTTAGAATGAGTGAGAGAGAGTTAAAGTGTATCTATGATAAAAAAAAATTCTTGCGGACATCTTGGACGAGATCCACAGGGTAAAATAGTGTGAGTACATGTAACTACAAAGAGAGACGTTGTGTCTAGTACTTACCAGTTATGATGTTATCCTACAGCCAGGACGTGTGGTCAGTATCAGCCAACCTGGGATTCCCTAGACACTCGGCCGCTGCCCGCCTGGTACGACGGGGCGAAGATCGGCATCTTCATCCACTGGGGGGTGTTCTCTGTCCCCTCCTTCGGCTCTGAGTGGTTCTGGCAGAACTGGCAAGGTAACGCTCGTGTCATCCCTGCAACAGACCTAACTTTAAGACTGGCTAAAAAGTGGAAGGACAGAGACTTAAGAACACGAATTATAAGCTTCATTCTTATTCTTATCTTTGCTCCTTATACTGTACTTTACTATACAGAGATAGTCTATAGTTGTTGTTTTTACCATTATTTATGTGATGGTAAATACGCGTATTTTGAGTGCTTCGAGGACTAGCAACAAAAGTAATTTCCCACATTAATCAAGTACGTGTATAGGTACACTCAGTTTTCAGATGTTTATCACCTGGGAGGTGCAACACCTGCACCGGGACTTAATATATTCTGTTGCCTCTCAAAGGACACGCAGATAAGGAGTATCTTAACCTTTCCTTTTTATAACCATGGTAAAATAATATCAGACAAAACAAATATTTATCTTTCAAAATTCTTAAAAAGTTGAATGTCCCAGTAAACGCTGCTTAAATACCCAGGCAGTTGAAACACCTTAAAACAAGCCGAAATTACCCGTTACATTATACGTCATTATTTGATGTTGGAATCTGTTCACTGCTATCAGAAAGTATGATTCTATTCAAGGGAAAAGAGTAATGTAATGTTATCCATACACCATACAACAGTGAGTTTATACTACTGGTGAAATTATTTGCTTAAAATATAAAGCCAATAAGAAAGCCTTATGCTTTATTTTGTAATAGAAAAAAAAGAAAATCAACTACACCAGGAATCCGAGAATGTTCCTACCACAACACTTCCTCTATGTCTAATTTAGTTCCTGTCGTGGTTTTGGGATAAAAGCTTATTCCTCAGTTCTTTTGAGATAATTTACCAGTGCACTGTACTTCCTTTTCATGCCTAGGCGTAAACTCATCCGATTACGTGAAGTTCATGGATAAGAACTTCCGGCCAGGTTTTACCTACCCAGACTTCGCGTCACAGTTCACAGCCGAGTTCTACGACCCTGAGGCGTGGGCCAACATCTTCAAAGCCTCTGGAGCCCGGTACGTGGTGCTCACCAGCAAGCACCACGAGGGCTTCACCAACTGGCCTTCTCGCTACTCCTGGAACTGGAACAGTGTGGATGTTGGACCTAAGCGGGACCTCCTGGGCAAGTAACTGGAGTATTTAAATATTTACTAACATTACCCGGGGCTTTCTGTGGAGATAGTATGTATACTGGATTAGCCATTAGATTCATTAGTTACAAAGTGGTATTCGTTAGTCACTAAAAGTAATCCTACCGGAACTTGGCTCAAAATTTAAGATGGTGTCACCTAAATGTAAACATGTGTGACAAAATTGATCTTGGAATGTCCACTATGTTCATGTATTTCGCTGATAAATGCTAGGGTTCTGCATTTATCTAATTGGAGACCATTTATTTTTTTATCGTATATATTACACTCTAGGTCATTCTGGCCGCCCAGAAAATCGCAAATCAAGTCTAGCAAAATTGTTAAGTTTGATCACGGGTGATGCTGATTAACTCACTGACTTTACTGCATACCTAAGGGTCACGGGGAAACTCACAAACTCACAGAAAATAAATAAAAATCCCAGAGTCTGACAAGTGAATCTCAGCAAGTCGCGTCAGTGATTGTTACTGTCTTCATCCACACTGCAGGTGATCTAGCCAAGGCCATCAAGTCCACCACTCCAGACATCCACTTCGGGCTCTACCACTCCCTTTTCGAGTGGTTCAACCCGCGTTACCTCGATGACAAGACCAATAAGTTCTTTACCAATGATTTTGTCGCCACCAAGACCATGCCTGAGCTGTACGAGCTGGTGAGTACAGTATCCAAGACCAAATCTACACAATAATAAGTCTACAACCTGGTCTCGAATGCCGACACTTTCACATCATCGCCATATATGATCTGTAATGTCTTTTGAATGTTAACTATTGCCCGAATATCTATAACACCATCCCTATACTAGAGAAAGGGGTATATAGAGAGGTGCAACACATCAAACTCCAACACATCATCCCCAAAACCAGGAATTTAACCCTAGCACTAAATACACAGGACCACACTGGTACTACACGTATATCCAAAACTGTTATCGTTTTTCAGGTGAACAAATACGAGCCTGAGGTCATATGGTCAGATGGGGACTGGGAGGCCCCTGACTGGTATTGGAACTCCACTGTGTTCCTGGCGTGGCTCTTCAACGACTCTCCGGTCAAGGATACTGTAGTGACCAACGACAGATGGGGTATTGGGGTCACATGCCATCACGGATCTTACTATACCTGCAGTGACCGCTACAACCCAGGTACTGTTGTCGTGGGGTCAGGTAATTAAAACGACCCATAACTTGTAAACAAGAAGGGAAGTGTGACCTCCTTTTTTCAGCTACCTACTTGATTCACACAAAACCCGGCGTTGTGTCACTGCCTGCTCGTGTCCAGCGTAAAGAGGTAATACAAGAAAAAGTAAAGAGGTTGTGAACATCCTTCTCAAATTTGTAGGTGTATCTCTTAAGAACTTCATATATTTTGTACAATAATTAATTTTTTAGTTTGTCAGTTCTTAAATATGTGACATTTATCGCGTAACAAAATTACTAAAAGTAAACAAGTTCTTAAACTATGAACTACAAATCTTAACTTTGTATGACTTCAGTATGTTTCTCAGTGTCTTCAAACATCTCGAGTTACAGCAGGCAATAACATCTACACAACTGTTTTCTCTCGCATAATGACATGCAATCACTATAATTAAACATAATCAAAGTTGCTTCTGTGTGACAGGTGTGTTACAGCTTCACAAGTGGGAGAACGCCATGACCCTGGACAAGAACTCCTGGGGCTACCGTCGTAACGCTCCCCTCGCAGATTATCTCAGTGTCCACGACCTCCTCACCACCATGGCACAGACCATCAGCTGCGGAGGTAGGGATCTCTCTTTAAGCTCGTCAGGGGCGTTCCCAGGCGTTGTCAGGGAGAAGGCCGTCATACTGAATATGGTTGGCTGGGCCTCCACTAAACTACCAGAGATTTTCAATTCTTGCTACATTCCGCTTGTATTTCAAAATACCGTACTGTATACAGTACATACAATAAAACAATTTATTTGGTAAACTACGTATCTCCGAATAACATCGGGAATTACATTGCCGTTGCCCATACACGTCTGAGGGTGATGTTAGTACAGTATTTGATGTTAACTTAATTAAATACAAATCGAATTTAATCATTAAGATTGTTGATGATGAAAAATTACGGTAAAGATTCAGGATGGCTGACAAAATTGCCCCCAAATCTTGTAACAAAGTACATAATCTATCCCACAACTACGTCAGCGTTTGTTTACCGCAGTGCTTTCCAGGATAAAGCCAGGGTCGGGTCGGTCATCTTTGTTTTTATCCCGTTTCAATAATGGCTGCTTGACATAGCTGCAGTTATTTGTCGCTAATGCCAAAAGTAATCTGCTGTGTGCTAACTGTGTTTCAACAAGGCAGACGCTTTCTTTGTTTCTATCAGCAACCAATGGATGATAAGATAATGAAAAGTTTTATCAGAAATTATACCATGGTTTATCCCCATTTCGTCTAGTCCCATTTCACCATATTTTTTCGTCAAAAGAAAAACGAAAGAATTTTCTAAAAGTGTGACCTCAATAATTGCTAGAATAACAAAAGGTAGATATAAGGTGATGGCTAATATGGCCGACTATTCCGCGACTTTGTGCTTTTAAATAGTGTATAAAGAAAAACATTAGTCATGCTAAATTTTGGTTATTCTCGTCGCATGGAATATTCCCACAGAACATCGACGGCAATCGCCTAAATACTCACAAATATAGGGATACAATGTTGTTTTCTGTGTTCATATTTTTTATTCATCTGTTTCTAAATGCAAATAGCAAAAAAAAAAGGTCATGCTATATTTAGGTCATTTGTGTTGCATAGAATGAACCACCAAGCAACTGTACAATTACATGTCCAGTGCAGTATAATACACTTAATACGTACAGTAAGTATATATGGCATGACTTTTCTTCTTATTTGCATTTAGAAATTGTTCGAATAACCAAATCCAAAATTACAATACAACCACTATGGAATAACTTCACAAAAATAATAGCGTATATCGGCCTCTGCGAGGTTTAATTTAA